CTAGAGAGGTAAGTTCTGGGCTGGGGATGTGGCTCAAGCGGTAGTGCGCTCGCCTGGCATGCGTGCGGCCGGGGTTCGATCCTCAGCACCACATACAAACAAAGATGTTGTGTCCGCCGAAAACTAAAAAAATAAATAAATTAAAAAAAAAAAAAATAGAGAGGTAAGTTCACATCACCATGATATTTAGGTCATTTTTTAAAAAATTGTGTTTTAAGGACTTGCTGTGGATGCTAAATTACCACAGTGCCTGTTTCTCCTGACCTTTTGACATTTAGCTCTTAGTAACTAAATTTTCCCTTTAATTAGCTATTATTTATGACTACCTTCTTTCATCAAAGATTTGTTCAAACAGGACTGTTACTAGCAAAGGTACTACAATTCGGGAGTAGAGAAGTATGGTATAACTAGGATTACCGTATGTTCTGGTTTGCCTGGGTAAGTTCTGGTTGATTAATGCCTCTTCTCCCAGTGTCACTGTGGGGACTCATGTAGTTAAAAGAGAAGTATGGTATAACTAGTTTCAAAAATGGTAAGCCTCAAGCAAAAGAATTCTGAGTTCAGAAACCACATATTTCACCATTCTTTTTGCCAATACATAATGTGGGGGTGTGAAAGATGTATTACAGAAATTAGGGGGAGGGGGGCTGGGGATGTGGCTCAAGCGGTAGCGCGCTCGCCTGTCATGCGTGCGGCCCGGGTTCGATCCTCAGCACCACATACAAAGATGTTGTGTCCACCGAGAACTAAAAAAATAAATAAATATTTAAAAAAAAAAAAAAAAGAAATTAGGGGGAGGGGCAGTACCTTTTTCCTTGTCAATATAACTTAGTGATTAAGAAAGAACTGAGGGGGGCTGGGGATGTGGCTCAAGCAGTAGCGCGCTCGCCTGGCATGCATACGGCCCGGGTTTGATCCTCAGCACCACATACAAACAAAGATGTTGTATCCGCCAAAAACTAAAAAGTAAACATTAAAAAAAAAAAATTAAAAAAAAAAAATTCTCTCACTCTCTTTAAAAAAAAAAAAAAAAAAAGAACTGAGGGGCTGCGATTGTGGCTCAGTTGTAGAGCGCTTGCCTGATGTGTGTGAGGCACTGGGTTCGATTCTCAGAACCACATACAAATAAATGCATAAAATAAAAAAGGTCTATCAACAACTGAAAAAATATATAAAAAAAGAAAAAACTGAGACTCTGGAACCAGATTGGACTGGATTCAAATCTAAGTTCTGCTGCATCTTAAGTATGTTTTTGGTAAAGCCACTTGATCTTGTTTTCTCAACTATGCTGACCTATACTCTTTGGTGTAAAGAACTCAGTATGCTATAATTGGTATAATTATGAACATTAAATGAGTTACTATTTACAAAGCACTTGCATATCTAATTGCTGTGTGTTGGCTGTTATTATTTAAATAGTTTCTATGAAGAGATTTTAAAATAGCCTTGTAGGAAAAATATTTTAGTCATGAACAGTGCATAAGAACCCAGTTGAAAATAAAAAATTCTAGAGACATGGTAATCTAATAACCCTTCTTTAAAAAATATTTATTTTTTAGTTGTAGTTGAACACAATGCCTTTATTTTATTTATTTTTACGTGGTGCTGAGGATCAAACCCAGGGTCTTGCACATGTGCTCTACTGCTGAGTGACAACCCCAGCTCCCCCCATTTTCAAAAAAAAATTTTTTTTAGTTGTAAGATGTACACGATACCTTTATTTTATTTACTTAAAAATAAAAAATAAAATTAAAAAATATATTTTTTATGTGGTGCTGAGGTTCAAACCCAGGGTCTCACATGTGCTAGGCGAGTGCTCTACCACTGAGCCACAATCCCAGCCCCATACTTTTTTATTTTATGTGGTGCTAGAATCAAACTCACTGCCTCACTCATGCTTGGCGCACGTTCTACCACTGAGCCACAACCTTAGCCCATAATAACCTTTTTTAAAAGTACAACATCCAACAGCCAAGCAGAAATACACTGCTGACAATGAACAGTGGTACATGTAAGCAGTCAACAGAATATATCATATCTACTGGTAAATCTCAATCAATATATGAAAGCAAATGCCAGTACATATTGTGTCCAGAAAAGCCTTAATTGAATAAAGCAGTTTTAAATAGTAAATTAGTAACTAAAAATTAATAATTCTTTGTGAAGTGGTTCAAGAATTTTAGACCTATAAAGCTCTAACACATCTGTTACAGTTCAAAACACTAACCTCAAGCAGCTTAGACCCTGCCTCTAAATAAAATGTAAAAAAGGGCTGGGTATGTTGCTCAGTGCTTCAGCATCCCTGCGTCCAATCCCAAGTACAAAAACAAAACAAAAAAACACTAGCCTCGTTAACAAATGAGGAAACTGAGGCACAGAATGAGCAATTTGCTCAGGGTTATATAGCTAGCAAGTAGTAGTTCTGTAGTTTATATGCAAGCAGCCTGGTTCTAGAGACCATGCTCTGAACTACTATGCCATACTGCCACTGAATGCCCATGAACATGGACCTCTCTGCTGAATAGTTTCCAGGGTAAGTAGTTATATTGATGAGACAATGATGAGAAATCATGAGTGTATTATGTATTCTGATGCTTTTCTTAAAGTTTTTCACTTGAATTTATCTAATTTGGCTGATTGTTAAATATATTGAAATGACTTAATTACTGATTTTCAAAATATTCATCTAGTTGAAACTTTTCAGTCTAATTTCTAATGAAATTTTAAGCTTAAAATTTAATCTAATATTAATAACAAGCAGTTTTTAAAAACTTACTTAAAAATAAGCTCACATAAAAATGTTATTTATGTTTAGCATGTTCAAAAGAAAGCTGCAGAATGGAAAATCAAGATAGATATCATTGCAGGTAAGATGAATCTTAACCCTAATTATCCAAAAGGACCAACATGCAATAACCTAACCAAAATTTTTATTCAGGTGCTAAGGACATATACTATAGAATGTTTTTCAGTGTGTAAAAATATGAATGATTGGTAATTGATTTTGTTTGTCACAGTTTATCCATTTTACTGAAAATTTCTATTAGACCTCAGGTAATTTGTAACTCCAGGCCCAGACAGACTATATCATCCAGTGGGTAAAAACATGGGCTTGGAGTTGATAAAACCAATTTTTGAAATCCACTTGTGGAAATTGCCACCAGGTTGTTCCTAGTTAACCTTTTTTTTTTTTTTTTTAATTTTCTAATTACATAGAGTAAGATAACATTGACCATTGGTGGGAGATAGATTATAAACATCTATACCATGAGCTCATGCTTCTTTTTTTGGCAATACTGGGGCTTGAACCCAGTACCACAGAGCTACATCTCCATCCCTTTTTGAGAAAAGTTGCCAGGGAGGTTGGCTCAGCTGTTTTGATAACATTTTTCACTACATTGGGTGCAATGGTAGAGTTCTTGCCCAGCATCTGCAGAGCCCTTAGTTGGCTCCCCAGCACAAAATAAAAGTTCAGTGAAACATGTTTTTTACCTAATAATAAACTTACCATGAATTTGGTCCTGTGGTATTAAAATATCTAACTAGGTATGTTACTGTTTATAATTAGTAATGGAATAATTAAAAGATCATTCTTCCTACTATATTCGGTATTATTGTCCCTCATGAAGTTTTAAGATATTGCAATATAGAGCATTTTTGAAATAGTAACATATATTTACTTTTTTAGTTGTAGGTAGATACAATATATTTATTTTTATGTGGTGCTGAGGATCACTCAGTGCCTCACACATGTGAGGCAGGCGCTCTACCCCCAGCCCCTATGCCACAGTATTTTAATATGCCATAGCGTTGCTGCTCCACACCTGGTGTTCAGACCCTCAGCACTGACATCCCTGAAAGCTAAAGAAAATTTCAGGATCCACTGAGTTAGAATCTGCATTTCAATGAGATCCCCAAGTGCTTTGACTGCACATTAAAACTCAAAAAGAGCGGACTCTAGGGTTAAAATGTGTTGGAAAATATGAAGGATAGGTAACTGATTCCCATCCTTCTAAAACAGATCAGTAGTAAAGAGTACAATTTAAATTATTTAGAATATGAAAAATATGAGTACTTTAGAAATTAGTAGAAAAATATCAACTTATTGCCATTACTAAAATCTAGACAAGAAAACTTTGAATTAAGCATCATCATTATGAGATGACTTAAGTCATCTATAGATTTTTTTTTTTTTTTAGGTGTAGATGGACACAACACAATGCCTTTATTTTTATGTGGTGCTGAGGATCGAACCCGGGTCCTGCCTGTGCTAGGCGAGCGCTCTACTGCTGAGCCACAGTCCCAGCCCCAGTCATCTATAGATTACCACGAAACTATATTTATTTTCCACTTGTTATTTCTTTAACCTTTCCCCTTTAACATGAAATTGTGGTACAAATGGGTTACAACACCAGAAATGCCTTGGCCAGTTCGCCATGTCACTCTTGGGGAAATATCAATTCAGTACATGGAGAAGTTAAAGTAACGTGTCATTAGGCTTACCATCATTTGGAACTTTCTTAGTTTTGCTTATAGTTAAGGGTGGTAAATGTTTGGAAATGTTATGTTTATCCTTACCTGTTGTTTTTTAGAACTTCGATATGACCTGCCAGCACTATACAACTTTCATAAAAAGAAATCAGTAAGTCTCTTGATTCAGTCCTATCTACATACAGTATTGAAAAACTTTGAAGGGCTAGGAGTATAGCTCAATGGCTCAATCAGATAGAGTGAATGCCTAGCATGCATGAGGCCCCGGCTTTGATCCCCAGCACTGCAAGAAGGAAAGATGATGGCTAGAAAGACCAACAGAGTGAAGGGAAAAACCTTTGTAGTAAGTAATTGTTTGCACTGTTATATAAGTTGCTTGGGTAAATACAGAAAGCCAGCCTAAGAAATAAATTAACTGTGGGAAGGGCCCATAACCAACAGCCAATACTCAAAAATTTTTAAGTTCTTTCTCAAACATTTTGTGGATACAAAAAGGAAAAAATAACAAGTTTTTGTTCTTTTTTATATAGCATATATTTTATTAGTTTGTAGTAATACATTTTCATATTACAAAGGCAATTGAGTGGAAGAATCTTCCATTTGATATTTGAATCCTCTGAACACAAACAGAACTATACATTTAAACAAAAACAAAAACAAAAAAAAAAACCCTCACTTTGATAACAAAAAAAAAAGACAAGTTAAACAACAAAAAAATTTTTCTTTTTACAGGTGGACATTGAAGTGGACCTAATTCGGTTTTCTTTTTAAAAGCTTTCAAAGACAAAAAGCAGCTTAAAACCTAACTACAATGAATTAAAAAAAAAAAAAATGTATTTACTAAACTACTGGTCTCCGGCACCATTTTCTGTTTTCTGTTGCTTTGATGCAGGCTCTTCTTTGTCTGTCTCTTCTCTTGCTCTTTTCACTGTTCCTAAATAATTAAAAGAAATTTTTAATAAATTCAACTGCTCTGTTTTAATGCTGAGCATAATTATTAATAAAATGTCCTAGCCTATTTCATACTTGTAAAACAGCATGACCAAGTTACACCATAATTCAAAAATGTCACTCATACAGAAGTTAAAAACCACATCTCTGACAAGTAACTTGTCATAAAGTACACTTTTCTCATGGAACTTCCAAAGGACTTAGAAAAAAATTACCTGCTGCACCATTTTCATCACGGTCATCATCACTATCAAATTTCGTTTTTTTGCCCTGAAACTGTACTTTTCCTTTAGACCCAGGCTGGGCAGCTTTATTACCCTTTCCTTTTCCTTTAAATCTGCGACCTGTAGAGGCATAATTGAGAACTTGGTAAAGAAAATAATTTAAGTCTGTTGTGTTTTTGAACACTGACTAAAATAAGTAAAATAACCAAACTGTTAAAGGAAATATCAGAATAAATAACCTTTCGACTTCCATTTGTTTAGGGATTCCTGTTGGTCCTCTATGATTTTTTTCAAAGCTGTTTTTTCCACCTCTCCTTCCAGTACTTCCCAAGTCACTTCTTTGTTCCTTAACTGTAGGTTACCATTGTTTGCATCTTTGGCTTTCTCCAGTGCTTCCTTGGCTTTTTCTTTAAAGAGAATAATTCCCTAACCAAGTACAGAAAATAAAAATCACACCCTTAGTTTGTTGTCCCCTAATTAAATTTTTTGTTCATACTTTTTCCTACCCTGTAATTCTTCTATGCCATTACTAATTCAATGAATTTTACTGAACCAAAAGCTATTCAGAAAAAAAATCAGATATAAATAACATCACTGATAGGAATAACAAAACAAAAAATAAATCATTTAAGTATTTTAATCAACACAATTTAAAAATTGTTTTCTATTAACTTTATCTTCTATGGACTTTCAAACTGAGCACCAAAAAGTATATGAATATTTCCAAACCTCTTTTGCTCCTCTGACAAAGTCTATCCATTTTATTTCACCGTGACTTGAAAAGAGGATGTGCAGATCTTCTCTACAGGTCTGATCATCTAAGTCACCTGAAAATTTCAGCAAACATCCAATCTTTTCTTCTAGAGATTTCTAAAGAAATACAAAAGGCAATCAAAAAAGTTTCTTACCCACATATCAGAAATGGCTCAAACCACTCTATGCCTACAACAGAAACCAAAATGCTATTTTAATGTAGTTTAAGTGTATTTTCCTTTGTTATTCTTTAAAATTGCTTCTGATTTTAATTTAATTTCTTCTATAAGTGACATTTAACTTCAAACTATATAAATCCGATTATTAAACTCAGGACAATAGTTTTAGGTAATATTATTTCTATATCACTTTAATGATAACCAAAACATATTTTCTTTAAAAAAAGCCTCAGACATGGTGGGTTACTCAGTAGCAGAGCATGAGCTTAGATTGTGCAATGTCCTGGGTTAAATCCCCAGCACCACACACATATACACAGTTTTCAAGACTTTTAAAAGTTATTCTAACTAGTAGATATATTAAATATCAGTACTATACACTTACCATTTCAGCATCTTCTGCTAACTTTTGTTTTTCTTCTTGCTCTCTACAAATAAACATGATTTAATTATAATTTTCCCACCCACTATAATAAGAAAATTAAAAATAAATAACCTAATCATGACCACTAAGCTACTTGATTACCAAAGCCGGTCCTTAGGTTTTTCTGATTATCCAATGCTAGACTACAATGTAATATGGCCTCCAATATAATAAGACACCTTAAAATGTGTTTCAAGCCTATTTTAAAGCTTTAAGTAATTCAGATATGTCATACTTCAACATACTTACTGTTTAGCTCTTAACTTAGCTTCTACTTTATTTTGCTTTCTTTCTTCATTTTTTTTTGCAAAGTAATCTTCCCTAAAGAACATAACACAAAGGCTAAGTTCATGAGAACAAAGGTAAGACTGTAAATTATTTTGAATGACTTAAGACATGGCACAGCAAGGAATGTCACAAACATTTTCTATCAAGGTAATCATCTAAAAATTCAAAATATGTACAGGAAGGTTTTTTTCTTTTAATAACAGCTTTACTATGATAAAATTCACCCTTTTAAAGTGTACCTTCAATGATTTAGTAGCATACTCAGAATTCTACAACCATCACTAATTTTAGACATTTCATGACTCCCAAAGAAACCCAATATCCCACTCTTGTGTTGATTTTCACTTATCCCTCCATGAATAGAAAAAAAGATCAGAAGTCATGTAAATAATGTTTCACAGTTTTCTGTAGTGTTAATTTCACAAAAGGCGAAAAACCTGAAATCCCAGTATCCCCAAACACCACCCAGCAATTATGAAAATCATGTTAAAAATTTAATTTTGACTATGTAACACTGATAGTATGCTTTATCACAGTGGATCTCAGTCAATCAGGTTTAACACCAGCATTTAGAAGACTATGTAATGCAAAAGTAAGGCACTATGGCCCTACAACTTTATCATGAAAATGCCCTGGTTCATCCTCATTTTAAAGACATGCGCACATACACAAGAACGTGATTCAAGTCTCTATCCTTTGTTCCTTATAAAAACATATTTTTATACAAACTATTAAATATAAGAACAGTGATTTACTCTTCACCCACACAAAAAGTCCAACTTTAGTATTCAGCCTGATTATAAATTTTAGATGCAAAGTAAGTACTAAAAGTTAACTTTCCTTGTTAGTTTCTAATAATGAAAAGGTACTAATAAACACTGTCTTATACTCTGAAAGGACTAGTGTACTTCTCACTGAAAAAAATTTAGGCATTTCTCAAAGTATTCCCAAGAATACCAAATATTAACTGGGGACTTTAGTTATGATCCTTATCCCAGTTTGTCAATCAATTCTAAATAACCGAGAAGCCAGAAGAAAAAAAGAGTGAAATTACGTACTTAAAAAGTATTAACAGATCTGTGTCTTTGTACTTTTGTCCAGGGGTCTCTACAAACTTCTTAGCAGAGTCAATGCTATCAAACACAGCAAATATTGATCCCTAAAAAAAAAAAAAGGGAAGAAAAGATTTCTTTTAAAGTTATGCCCCATATATTTACAACTAGAACTCTTATCATCATACAATCAATCATACCTTAAAAGCTTTGTGCAATGTTCTTCTCATTTGAATATTCAGCACTTGACCTTTATCTTCTAGCCATTCTTTTATGTCATCAAGGGTTGCATCAGTTGGGAAGCCTTTCTGTGAAAAGTGAACAATTCCCCCCAAATTCTGATTGGTAATGAAGCAAGGATACACATTATCTCTTTCTCTTCCTGTCTCAATCATTTAACAGCCTACTCAGTGCAATGAAAGTGATTCACCTGATATAGGTTTTAAGTTTGCACAGAGGGAAAAAAAACCACAACCATTATTCATGTGTTAAGTACTGCTAAATTTCAATAATCGTACATTATACTGTTCAAGCTACTCCTGTAACTTTCTGAAAATTTACAGAATAAAGTATTTAAAATCAACATACTAAAGAAAATTGCTGTAGATTTTAGGTGTTGACAAGTAAGAATAGTTGATGATATGCACTGGGCACTTAGAATATGTCAAAGATTTTATCGAATGTATGATTTTTTAATTTAACTCTCAATATTTCAATTAGGTAGAAAATATTATCCATATTTATGAAAATAAGGTGTAGAGAGAGGTTAAGAACACTGCCAAAGGACATACAGTAAGTGAGGCAACTGAATCTTGAGCCCTTATCCACACCACTGTTTTCTTCCTAAATAAATGTATTATATTAAATGCATTAAGACCCACTTACAATATAAACAGATCTGTTTTTTACATCATTTTTATACTCATCGGTCACTTCTGGGAGGGGTTTGCTTGGAGATCTTCTGATTTTAGTTTTGTCTTCACTGATTTCCATAAGTTCTGCCTTAGATTTGCTCAAAGCTTCCACTATTACATTAAAATCTGTTGTTAGGCGGTTTAACCTGAAGAATATATATATAACAACATTAAGATTTAGTAGAAGCACTCATTACTAACAGAGAACCTAGATGCATGTAGGAGGCTCTAGGTTCAATCTCCAAAATGCAAACAAACCAAAAAGGGTTTTTTTACCTGTTGAATTTTATCATTATTTCCAAAGGTACCCAGCCTTCGTCCAATTTGATCTGTTCCTTTAAAAATTTGTCTCGTGGCAAATTGAAGTCTCCAAAATAATACTGTAAGATAATCATAATACACTTTAGATTTTGGAGCACTGTATAATACTTAATCCAACCCTGGAATTTTTTTTTTAACTACCATTATACTACCAACTTTCATTCTTTAAAAATGCATGTCATAACTTAAAAGAGGCAACAACCATTCTTCCTAAATTTACAATAATGAAATGTTTATAATACAAATTAATAAAAAGAAAATTAAAGTATCAATTACTGGCTGGGGTTGTGGCTCAGTGGCAGAGTGCCTGCTTTGCATATGTGAGGCACTAGGCTGGATCCTCAGCACCACATAAAAATAAATAAAGGTATTATGTACACCTACAACTAAAAAAAAAATTATATATATATATTTTTATAAAAAAGGTGGGACACCCCTGGGTTTAATCCCTGGTACCAAACCAAACAAAAAAAAAAATACCCAGTTATGGCTATTTGGAATGTCAAAAGTAGCATGAGAGAAAAAGTAGTTTAAGGTTCTTATAAACTAAGGGGAATGGTGGGGAAAAAAGTGAACAGCTATAGAGAAATAACAACATTAGAAAAATTACAAAAAGTGGGCTGGGGTTGTAGTTCAGTGGTAAAATGCTTGCCTAGCATGTGTGAGGCACTGGGTTCGATCCTCAGTACCACATAAAAATAAATAAAGTAAAATAAAGGTATTGTGTCCAACTACAACTAAAAAAAAAAAAAAAAAAAAAACCTTTAGTTGGGGCTGTGGCTCAGCAGTAGTGCACCTGCCTGCAAGTGTGAGGCACTATGTTCAATTCTCAGCACTGCGTATAAATAAATAAAATAAAGGTCTATCAACAACTAAAAAAAGAACCTTTAAAAATAAATAAATAAATGCATTGTGTCCATCTACAACTTAAAAAATTACAAAGAGTATATATGTCACATCATGTACACAAGAATGGAAAAAGTTAGACTCCATGTATGTAGACCTCAAAATACATTCTAGCAAGGTGTCTTGGCACACACCTGTAATCCCAGTGGCTTAGGAGGTGCTAAGCAGCTCACTGAGACCCTTCTCTAAATAAAAATACAAAATAGTGCTGGGGATGCAACTCAGTGGTTCAATTCCCAGTACCCCCCCAAAAAAACAAAAAAACACTCTACTGTCATGTATAAACAAAAAGAAAAGTACATATGTATTACAACATAAAAAAGCCAACCTCATTATAAAGCCAAGAAACAAAATGAAAAACAGATAGCACTTCCCCCCTAACAAACTGACTAAAATTCTCCCCCGCCCCCAACTGGATAAAATTCTAAAAAAACAAGAAAACCTAGCATTGGTCTAAACACAGAGAAATGATCACATAGGTAGAGATGTTAACTGGAAATATTAAAACTTTTTTAAAAATAGGAATTTTATCTTAACAGTAATCAGGAAGCATGTCTACTAAGATTCACATAAGAATATGCATGACAGGCACAATGGCACATGCCTTAATTCCAGCTAATGGGAAGACTGAGGCAGAAAGATTACAAATTAAAGTCCAGCCAGGGCAACACAAGAAAACTCTTCATCTCAAAAATCAAAATTTACAAAGGCTGGGATGTAGCTCAGTGGTACAGCATTTGCCTAGCCTGCATTGAGACCCTGGTTCAATCTACTGTGCCAAACAAAACAAAAAATCATAAAACTGTTAAAATTTAGAAAGATCCTACATATTAAGGAGGGGAAATGAATAATAAAATATTGACGGCATAAAAAAATTTATTCCCCAAAACACATCCCATGATTGGTGTGAGGAAAAGGAAGGAAATAAAAATTGTGTTAGTTATGTACCACACTGGTGGGGAATGTTTGAGAAATCTCTGTATTTTCATACAAACTGCTGTGAACTTAACATTGCTCTAAAGTCCATTGAAAAAATTATATTAGATAGGCAACAGTGGCACCCAGCTGTAATCCCAGCAGCTTGGGAGGCGGAGGCAGGGGAAGGCAAAAGCAGGATCGCAAGTTCAGAGCCAGCTTCTGCAATGGAAAGGCACTAAGCAACTCAGTGAGACCATATCTCTAAATAAAATACAAAATAAGGCCGGGATGTGTGGCTCAGTGGTCGAGTGCCCCTGAGTTCAATCCCCAGTCACCACAGCTCCCCATTACATTATTGTGAGTATGGAGCAAAGTATCAAAGGCTTTTTTTTTTTTTCAGTTGTAATGGGCTTTTATTTTATTTATTTATATGTGGTGCTGAGATTCGAACCCAGTGCTTCACACATGCTAGGCAAGCAATCTATCACTGAAGTACAAATCCAAACCCATATCAAAGGCTTTTAACCTTGGTTACTTAAAAAGGGTAAGATTACCACCTTATGAGGAGGATACTATTATTATCCCCAGTAAAAAATGGTTAAGTAACACTAGTCCATAATGTTACGTTTTGAAATTTTTGTAATTCTTGGGTTTCCTAACCTGGCTTCACCCAAATGAAACTGTATAATAATGTACATTCATCTAATTCTAAAAATCAAAGACATGTATTGAATTAAATATCCTTCTTGTTATTTTCAGGCCCTAAATTTCCCTTTAAGGAACTTATTTTTGCAGTTTAATAGCACAAGAATCATACCTCGATTTGATGACAGATTTTGGCTTCCAGGGCAGCCATTTTTTCATTATCACCGTTTTCAGCCATTGTGGCTATCTGTAAATTTTCCCAAATCAGCAGAAATGATTATTTCTTTTAACATAAAGCTTAAGACCAGAAATACTGTTTAAAAATTAATATGCCATTGTTTTCTTAAAGTCAAGAATTTTCCAAGTTGACAGGTTCAATTTCTCTACTCAATTCTCAAATATCTGAACAAAGCTATACTTTGGAATAAGAGATGGAAAATTCCCAACCATTAATGACTTTAAACAGATCAGTATACGCAGCTAATCTGTCAGTATATTACTATGGCTCTCCTTGCTATTTGATTGGTGTAGCTTCTTTTAAAATTAGCCATGGATGACTTATAAAAACGTTATCAGCAAGTTAGATATCATAACTTTACGGTAAAATTTTCAAATATTAAAATCGGGAGTTAGATTAGACACTATATTAAGAAATGTATGCAAATCTGAGAGCACTTTGCGGTGGGTGAAGAATGAGAGGTGGTGTCTAACAATTCACTAACATATTCGTTAACTTTACAATCAGTTTCCTGTTTCACATCCTGACATTATTACGGGGGGGGAAAAAGAAGGATGTGATGTGATTTGCTAGAAATCACAAACCAAGTCTTTTGACTTTACGTTGAATCTAGTAATGAGCTACTGATGATATACTTCTTGAAGACATCACCAGATACACTAAATTTGTTATTCAATAACCCGAGTACCCAATGAAAGATCACGCAATGGGAATATTTACGGCCCACTACAGAATTCACGCGATATTATGCCCTGGTTTGCATACCACCACCTACAATGGTCAAGTTACTAACATTACCGTGATCTAGGGCCTCTCAAAAAAGCAAATGATGAGATAAACGAACTTATTTAGTCCCTGCAAGGCTACTTTGGCCTACCCAATTGTGGAACTTCGTTTCATCAGATCTACTTTTCCAGAACGTACAACTAGAACTGAGATACTACCCACGCTCTCCCATTTCACACAGAAGCAGCTCTGTTGGGAAGGAAGGAGGATCCTAAAGCCCAAGAGACACAGGTCGAGGCTACATCTGCGGCCCCAACTTCTTTGGCTTCCAGTCAGTCCCCACAGACTCCATGGAACCCTTCGGTGTTTTACCCAGCACCGACCTACCCAGAAATTTACAGAGGTGGCTGAAGCATCAGCCTTGGGCAGGACTGAGAACTAGTGGAGATAAGAAACCGAAAGAACGCAGGGAGGATGCGGGTAGCCTCTACTCAAAGACCTCACCAGAGTCGCGTCTCACGGGAACACAGGCTCCCCTGGGCACGTGGGGAACCCCAGGCGCCCGCATTCCTCGCCCGGGCCGGCAGGGTAACCTAGTCGCGGCCCGCGCCCCCTCGACCCGTAGCACAGCACGCCGCCTCCGGCTGCGGCCCACGCGGCGCTCCGCCCGAACGTGCAGTAGGCGAGCTGTACATGCGTCCCGCGGGCGGCAGCAAGGAAGGAGGACGCGCCGTCGTGCATCACGCAATGCAGGTTCTTTTTTACCTTCCCATTAGCTATCGAAAAGCTCACCTTTAAGGTCCGGGCCCCGTAAGCGCGCCACAGGATCACTAACAACGACCGAACGTCTCCACTTCGCAGCGCCGCCGGCTGGCTCAAAGCGCTCAAAGATGGGAGCCGTCCCGGCAGCCCTTGCGGGCCGAGTGGGCGTGGCCTCGGGCGAGCTAAAGCCGTCGCTCTGAGCATGCGCTACTGTCGCAGGCTCCCACGGCCCGCAAAGTCCCGCCCTCACTCCAAGGAGATTGGGATAAAACGTTCCGCAGGGTGTTGAGGGATAACTGGTAGTTCGTGTTGGGGTAAACGTTTAAGTATTTATGGATGGCATTTGTATCCCAGCCTTTCCTCTGGCTGTCTATTCATTTGAAGCGTTTGCCTTTTAATTTTTTTCAAAAAACTTGTTTTAATATATATCTAAATTACATCGTGTAAGCGAAAATTCTAAAAATCAAAGATTTGTGGAATCCTGGAGTTGAGAAAACAATGGAGTGTGTGTGTGCTGAGGCTCTGGAATCAGCCTGTCTGCTTTCAAATATCTGTCCTGTGTAAAAACTGTGCGACTGTGGGCCAGTCAACTTCTTTGTCCCTCCTGTAAAAAGTAGGGCCTGTTGGTTGGGGAGATAGCTCAGTTGGTAGAGTCCTTGCTTTGTATGCATAAGGCCCTGGGTTCAATCCCCAGTACCAAAATAATAATAATAATAAAAGGCTATCTAGTTGTTAGGTCCCTAGGCTGATGTAACTCCATTTTGAAAATTAGCACTTGCCCACCCAGGCATGACCTTCCCTGTTAGGCCGACCCCTGAAAGAGTCCCTAACAATCACAGAACCAGACGGATTATTTTTTAACTACTCCATTGTATTTGACTATATAGTTAAGAAGTTTTTTCCAGCAGTTTGCTGTGCCTTGGAGAAGGTAGCCTGGCAAATATTCTCTGTCAGTAAACCTTTGCTTGAACTCAGAGAGTGTCTCCCATGGATATTTGTGCCACCTACCCTAACACTACTGATTATTGTTTATGCTAGAGGCATTCCCTATTAGTGTACCTTTTCCAAAATTTTAGTCATTTACTTCCCCCCACCCCAGGTCCTGGGGAGTGAACCCAGAAGCACTCTACCACTGAGCTATAACACCAGCCCTTTATTTTTATTTTGAGACAGAGTTTCACTGAGTTGCTGAGGCTGGCTTGGAATTTGCAATCCTCCTACCTCGGCCAACCGATTTGCTGCTATAACAGGCATGAATTACCGCTCCCTGCTAGTCGTTTAATTTAAAGCAGTTATCCCCTTTCCTGTGGTGAGACCATCTTTTATTTTTTCCTCAATTTTTTTGAAAATATTTAATGCCATTGGTGAAAAATCCTGTCAAATTATTTCAGGGATTTTCAGTGATCCCAAACAGATCAAATATTATTTATTTGGGAAAAAATGCAGTTATAGATTGAATAAGGACCATTACATTGGGCCAAAGGCGGGATATTTAGTAGCATTGTGCTCAGGTAGTTTAATTTCAGATGAATTAGATTCTCTTTTACTCACTCTATATTTTTCTAGCCCCTACTTTGTGCTAACCACAATTGAAATCTCAATTATCCTTTAGACCAAATCAGTGAGAATAAAGGTATTTAACAGAACTAATCATATGAGCGTCAGGGTATTCCCATTCATCCATTGAGCAAATTGTTATCTTTTGTGTTTAAGGAAAAAGAAAATGAAGTCTTTATTGATAAATAAATTGAGTAATGGCTTGTCAGGGAATAAAAACTCGGGCAAAATCACCATCTCTGTCCACCCAGGGCCTCTAGCTCTCAGCCTCTACCTTCTTGCTGCATACTCTGGAGGATGAGGACTTCATGGGCAGCCTCTGTCTCCATGGCCGGAGGTATGAGGACTACCTTGGACCTGTCACCCTTAGGAGGAGCAGCTGCTGCTTTCGTTCTTGGCTTCTCTCCAGCCCCCTGGCAAGCTCTCTCTTTAGGGGCCTTGGCAGCCATCTTCCTTTTGGTTGGGGAAGCAACTCCATTCTTGACCTGCTTAGTTACAGGTTTTGAAATCTCATTCTTCATTTTTGATTTCCCACGGGCCTCTGTATCTACTTGCCCACTACTCTTGCCTTTCTTTGACCTTTGACTTCTTACTGATCCATTGGCACAGGAAGGGGCCTGAGTGGCCTCTCTTGAGGATCTTTTGGTTGGCAGCAGCTGGTCTGGGAGGAGCCTTCCTCCCCTCACCCAGCATGTTTGCTGCCTTCTCTACCTTGCCAGAGCTGGCAGGTTCCTTCTGTGCCTTGCTTGGATTCTTGAGCCTTTCCCAGGAGCTTTCCTGGCTCTCCTGGGGGCCTTTAGGGTGGGTGTCTTCCCAGGCCAGATTTTCCTCTTGTGCTTGGGAACTAATTTGAAGAGACAGTGGCCCCTTTGCCCCTGGAGTTAACAGGCCTGGTGAGCAATCCTCTTCACCAGCAGTTGCCAGGACCTGCTTCAGCAGGTACTTGAAGTGAAAGACATCCACTGTGGGGTATTGTGTAGGATGTAGAGCTTGATGGCTGCCACCAACATGCCCTGGGGCTACTCCCAGCCTGCAGTGCCTCCAAGCCCTTGAGGACCCGGTTTTGGCTCAAGCCTGGCTTTTCAGTCCAGAGGACCCCTTAGGGGTGCTAGAGGGAACAGAGATATCAGTGGTGATTCCTCTGGGAGCCACCAGACAGATGCAGCAGCCAAGCCTCTTCCCCAGGAGTGAGCAAGCAAATTGTTGATTACATACCTACTGATGTCTGATAGGGGGCCTGACACTGGGAGTAGGTAGGGGAGGAGATTGCCTAGAGACAGTCACCTAAACAAATGTAACTCTTTCATGCTCCACAAAGACTACAAAGAAATGTTATTGTAAACAAATAACACTTAGGAACATTTAGTGTCTTATCAGGTCACTGGTCCTTTGCTCTCCCTCTCTTTCTTGTCTTGGTCTCCAGGAGACCACCTTTTGGGACAATAGCTGCTGGTAACATACCAGGAAACTCAACCTACCAGTTAAAGCACCTAGGAAAAGACTCTTATGCTGCTAGACATCTCTCTCATAGCATAAGTTTGTAGGTCAATATACCAAAAGTATCTCAGTATACATTTAGAACAATCATTTTAGAGGACAATTTGATAAAATCTGCTAATATATAAGATGTGCATTGTGGATGGCTAGCAAGTCCACTCTTCAGAATATATTTTGGGGAAATTTCTAACCTCTGAACAAGAAAACATATTCAAAAATATTCATCGCAGCATGATGTGTAAATCCAAGCAACTGAAAATCAACTAAATATCTACTCCAAAAGAATGGGTAACTAAATTGTGGCATAAACAATGCAATATTATACTAGATCTGCATGCATTGAGGTTGATGAAATTCACATGTAATATGCTGAGAAAAAAAAAAGTAGCACTCTTGTCACTATGGCAATGAAAAATCCCATCCATATTTCCAAACACTAAGTGATTACTGCCCTCTGTCTTATATTAAGGACAATTAATCTAGAGTAATTGTATTATTTTACTTTGGACATTTACTTTGAAATAATAGACATCTAGGGAGAGATGCCAGTAAACAGTTAATCTATGAGTTTGGAATGAAAGGCAGAAATCAGGGTTGGAGACACAAATTATGGAGTTATTAGTATATAGATGATATTTAAAGTCATGGCATTACATAAGGTCTCTTAAAGGAATTATACTGCTGTGAAGATAAGAGGGCCCCAGATTGAACCCTTTAGCATTCCAGTTTTTGGACATTGGATAAGGAAAAAAAAAGCCTGTTTAGGAACTAGAATAATGAGAACTTGAGAAGTTCTAAGAAAATATGGTGCTTGTATAAGAATAGGTAATTATGATAAAAGCTTGAATGAAAAGATACTCATATTATTCCAAGGCATTGGAGTACACTAATAGTATCTTTTTTTTTTTTCATACTGGGGAATGAATTCAAGGGCACTCAGCCATTTACACCCCCAGCCCTATTTTGACTTTCTTTAGTCTCACCGAGTTGCTTAAGGCCTCACTAAGTTGCCGAGGCTGGCTTTGAATGAGATCCTCCTATCTCAGCCTCCAGAGCTGCTGGGATTACAGGAGTGCACCGCCTTGCCCAGCTCACTAACAGTATCTTAATGGCACAAATGCATTCAATTTTCAACTATTAACGACACCATTTTCTTAACTCCATTTCTTAGAATATCCAAACAAATTCAGTGTTTTGCTGCTATTCGACTATACTTCACTTAGCTATTTTGATAAACAAAAGTTAAAATTAATACTAAGGCTAAAAACTGCATGTTAAAAACTAGAATTCCCAGGGTTGGGAGTGTAGCTCAGTGGTAGAGTGTTCACCTAGCATGCATAAGACTCTGGGTTTGATCCTCAATAGCACAAAAAAGGAAAAAAAGATAAAGTCATATTTCCAGTGTATCAGTATATTACATATCTAGAACCAAATGGTATTTTAAAATTCCTGCAACTGTAATACTACAGAATTTGTTTGATTTATGTTCCAGACCATGCAAATTTGACATTATTAAAAAGTAGTCACATGGCTGGGGATGTGGCTCAAGCCGTAGTGTGCATGGGTGCAGCCCGGTTCGATCCTCAGCACCACATACAAACAAAGATGTTGTATCTGCCGAAAACTAAAAAATAAATATTAAAATTCTCTCTCAAAAAAAAAAAAAAGTAGTCACAGATGTGTAGAGTTGAAGGTGGAAAAAATCACATTTACCTCTCATCTCCAAGCAGTTTTCTAAGCAACCAATAATAAAAAAAAATCTTTCTAGAGGAATTATAACTATTTTAATAGAAATACTGAATTATTGTAAAGGGTCTCCTTTGAATTAAAAGCCCTAAATTGTTTTTTTCTTCCACATTTCCTGGTTTCCATCTCAGCTATCTCATGCTGACAATGGAAGCTGAGAAACTGTCCCCAAATCCCTGGCGGGCAATCACAAAGGTTGAAAAACCGGAATTTTAACATAATTCTGGTAAACACAGCCTGGCTGTATTTACATACATATATTTCCTGACTTTTGTTTCTATAAATTGTAACATTTCTTTAGGTTGCATGAAAACAGATTAGTTGACTTCCCAGTTCTGGCCAAACTGTGATTAAATTCATTTTTCCTTTTTACATTGTTGTT